TAAATGTATGTTTTTTTTATCACACCAAATATTCTTCAGTATCCAGAATTAATTTCCTGGCTTATTGAAAGCAGATAACAGCAACAGATGATAATGTGAAAATATACTTGCAAAAATGTGTCTGTGAAGTGTCTGTCATTCAAACTGCAAAATCATTTAAATCACTTAAAAATAAAACAGTTACATAAAATAAACAAAAGAATTATATTTTGTACATCCTAAAAACATTGGCCAGCATTTCAAAATCTAAAGTGGCAAAAAGCTGCTTAATTTTGATTCACAGAAGACATGAGATAAATTGTGGGTCACAGTTTATTTTGTTCACATGTACAGCTTAAAACTCGTGTGGCAATGTAAAATGCTTTAGTCATCTTTACTTTGTTGATAATCCAAATTTATTCATTAATCAAACCCATAATTGTTCTAGATTTGGCCTATATAGTTGGTGGGATTTTTTTATTATTATTATTTTAACCGTTATCTCTTTGCTACTAAACATAGAGGAAGAAGACAAATCAAAATGGTTTTAAATTAAGAATTAATTAGAAAAAATGTTGTCTTTTTTAAACCAGAGTTGAGAACAAATAATACTTTTACTTACTGAACACATGTAGCTGCTGTTGAGCTGATTTGTTTTTTTAAACTTTGTTACTCTCCAACATCAAAGTGAGCAGATCAGGTATCCCAAGGTATAGTACTCACTCAGTCAGGAGAGTTTTCTGTGTTTCTTTCTGTAATTTTACTGACAGTTTGCATGTGCGTAGGTTTGTGTCTGCATGGGTGCGCGTTTGACTGAAGGTGTGTGTACCCGAGCACATAATCGCAAATTCTTTTACAACTTCTCTGCGAACACCTGTTAAATTTCCAATGCCCGGGTTGTTAGGGCAGGTTCGATTTTAATTTTAAATGTTTCGGTGCGAGTTACCATCGGAGGTGATCAAAGTGCTGATCACAACAGGAGCGCAGACGAGAGACACAGCGCTCATTTAAATACAGACCCGAGCGACTGCTTTGAACACCCCTCCTGCAGCAGGTTTCGTTGAGGTGGGAATAAAGGAGGAGGCTGGGAGAGAGGAATAACACTCATTGTGTGATATATTTACATGCAGTGCACCAAGATTGACTGCCTTTCTTTTTCTGTTTTTAGCCTTGTTAACTCTAAACAAAGGCCTAAAAATAAATCATGCCAGGTGCAGTCAAACTACTGTCCCTAACTGAAAGTTAACATAAAATATGTCATGTTTCCAATAAAAAAGTCACTTTATGTAATAGTCAACAAAACCTTTTCATATTTCACTTTTGTTAAAAATATACTAATTTACTCATCAGTTTCAAAGTGCAGAAAGTAACATTTTGTTTACTTTAGCTTCTGAGGTAATAGAATTTATAGGATTTGTCAAATTTGACCTGAATTCTACAAAAAATATATTTTTAGTTTAATCTAAAGTATAAGTAAATAGTAGTTTGTGACATATTTTCTCAACAAGCTGTCATAGTAGGGAGATTAGATCTGCCAAATTAGGTTGTCATCAGCAAGATTCCTAATAGTCAACAAAAATATTGTGGTGAGGGGATTAAAGTATGATCATTAAGTAATGACCAGTTGTCTCCCAAGCTGCATCAGTGTATTTACAGTAGTCTAGTTTTTGGCTACTATCAGAGCTGAATGGTGATTAAAGACCAACATTAGAATCCATTACAGACCTTAGGCTTTCTGGAATCATCACCAGGCTGAATGGTAAGTTGTTAATTGTGTGGGCAGTCATTCAAAGCCTTCACATACTCTCAACAGCTTTGGAAAAGTAAACTGAAGAATGATTTTTAACTCCAGAAAAGTTTGACCATTAATGAGGGATGCATTAGAGTTTCTTAAAATCATTATTGAGTCAGTAATAAAATATGCCTGTTTTATGCAGCTCAGTTTTAACCAACAAATGTTTTCCTAAAGGCCAACAGCTTTCTCTTTTATTCCTTGCCAAATTTGTCTTCTTCTTCTACTCCTTCTAAAAAACAAAATTTCTTAAGTTGACTAGAATTGTCAGCTTGTTATATGGATGAACCTTACGTGTTGCATCCTCTTAAGCTTGCAGAGACAATTAATGGCCAGGTATATATTCACTTTCCATTTTACCCAGTCACCTTCAGCTTTGGCGTTTCTTTTGATTCTCATTAGTAACAAACTTCAAAACGATGAAACTTTACTCAGGATCATATCCATGTTTTAATGTTTGATGTGTAGATTCATGTTTTGAATGTCTCTGAACATGTGTAACTTTTCATGGTTAAATCTAAAAAAAAAGAAACAAACAAAGAAAAGTTATGGTATTTAGCTTTTGTTTTATCACTTTGAATCTGAGCCATCTCTGCTCAGATTCAGGAAAGTGTATTTTGGTTGGATGTTTTTTCTTCCTTTTTTAAGAGTATGCAGTAAAATAAAAACTCTCCTTACTATTTTGTGCTGCCTTCTGCTTTAATCTAGCTTTTAAATATAGAAAATGTTAAAGTTACAATGGAATTAATAACGCTTTAACAAAAATATAGTTTTCTTTGTTTTTATCAACCACTTATCTTGCTGTGTGTTTTCAGAGAATTATATTGTCAACATGAGTTTTTGTGTGTTTGTGTGTGTGTGTGTGTGTGTGTGTGTGTGTGTGTGTGTGTGTGTGTGTGTGTGTGTGT